AATACTTATGTTAGCAGGAATGACCCTATTTCGTATATGATAGTACATGTTTCCATATGAATGACCTATTTGGGACTGATATATGCATATGCAACCAGGTTATTCAATGTCAAACATCGTTGAAGTAAATGTGTGCTAGTTTTGTTGAAATCATTCAATTTTATTCAACGTCAAATATCCATTACATACGAAGAACTAAAAACACAAGTACAACAACCACAACGAAGAGCACACAAAAACAACATAAAGTCATCCTCTTTTGAAGGGCGCAAATCGTATGTCTCATTTTTTCGTAGTTCCAGACAACTTGCAGTTGAGTTCTAAAAGTTTGGTTAAGTCTTCTAATATCGTAGCCTTCTCTTGATTCCTTTTTCTCGCTTTCTCTTATGCTCTACGGACACGACCTTCTAGTGTTTCCATATCACCAAGCTTCAATTTCAGCTCATGGTTCTCTCGCATCAATCCATCAACCACCGAGTCACTCTCATGATCATCATCAACCCTTCGAAAAAAGTGGCAGTTCTTTTTATGATCAAACAAAAGAAAAAGCAACCTCTTTCTGCAACTTCGGTGCGTAGTCAGAACTTCGATGGCGAGGGGACGACAACGACGGAAAACTATCGAGCGCCGCTGCAATTTCCTCGACGGCGGGCCGACGATGGGGGAAGAGCGGGGACGAAGTCGAGAAGAATTAAGACAGAGGGAGGGGATTTTGGGAGATATAAGACGACCCGTCAAGAACTTTTTGATTTTCTTTTCCTTTTATTCAAAATATAAAAGATATATGGCAATAGGTGGAAAAACAATATTTTTTGAATTGGTATATGCTAACTTGGCAGCGATATGACAGGTTGATCGTTAGTCAATTGAGTTGACCTTCCAATATAATGCTCAACTCTCATATTATGTCAATTTCATAAAATTGATACATAATTGAGGCCACAAAATTATAAATAAAAAGATTGGCATTTAACTAGTTTCATTCAATTTTTTTTCTTCCTTGTTTCCACTTGGCAGCCTATTTTAATTTACGACTCCGAAACCAAAATACCCAAAGTTATAAAGCCAAATTTCTCACTTTACCGCTTCAGTATATTCTATCTCGAGCCAAAATAAAATACGAATGACCAAAGTAAGTGCCGTATAATACTGACTAATTATTTATTTATTTATTCGTCTTTCTAAGCAGCTTGGTTTGCACGTTTGACCTTTTCTGCCACACAAATATAAAACTTTATTATTAGTTTTTTATTTTCGCGTCAGTGGGACCACGCAACAGTTATCTTTCGGCCGCTCACTTTGTCCTCTCTGTGGCTCTCTCTTGCGCCACCTCACCCCTCGGCGCAATTTAGATCCCTTTCCTCACCCACCCGGCTTAAACTGAACCACCATCCTTATCCTTCGCCCCACCTCTAATTTCATCCTTCTTCTGGGACATTTCCGCAAAAGGTTTCTTTTCCCCCCTTCTTTCTTTAGCACTGAGATTTACCAAATACCCTCCATTTCTCCTCAACGAATCTCTCTAATCCCGTCGATTAGTCATCAAATCCGGGGTTATTTAGGGCTGCCCATTTCGTTTTCTCCAGCTTTCTGAGGTCTGATCACTAGCTGGAGCAGTGATCTTTTCACACCTGATAAACGATCGGCGAGCCTCTTTTTCCCGATTTTGTGTAATTTTTTTTGGGCTTACCTGGGGTTCAAAGCATGTAAAGCTCGAGATTACGAGCTCAACTGCTGGCGGTGGGTAACGATCTCTTGCCTCGTTTGGTATCTTGCTTCTCCTCCTGGTGGGGAAATCGTTGCAGACTGCGTGGGAAACATGGCTCGGAGTAACGAAGTCAGCATCAATGAAAGCAAGGTACCCTTCTTCTTCTTTGTTTGGTTTCAGTCCCTCATGTCGCCCCGGATGCTTGATTGCAACGAAATTTCTGTGACCTTGAGATGAGGTTATGGTTTTGAATCTTTGATCAGAGTGGTTTAGTTTAGCTGGTGGTGTTTATGGCTTTGGCTTTATGTTTGAGATGGTTCTTTGAACCTTCTTGGTGTCCAAGACAAATTGAGTGGAAGTGATTTATTTGATTCTCCATAGGATTAATGCGAGATAATGGTTTTTGTGGAGCTGATTGCTTTTGTCTTGAGTTAAAGTTTAATGTTGATTCGGTGATAGTAAGTGAAATTGGATGTTCCATTCATCTCAGTAGTTTTCGTTTAACCTGGTAGGAGATTTGGTAAGGGGAATGGGTGAAGCCCTGTCCATTTTGGACAAATTTTACCAGTTAGGGATGAAAGTTTTGGAAATTGTTTGGCCAACCCTTTTTGCTTTTCTTTGTGCAGATGGTGGTCCCTTTGAACACATGGGTCCTAATATCCAACTTCAAGTTAGCATACAACCTCCTCCGGCGGCCAGATGGAACATTCAATCGCCATTTGGCCGAGTTCCTGGACCGAAAGGTCCCTGCCAATGCAAACCCTATTGACGGGGTGTTCTCATTCGATGTGATTGTTGATCGAGCCACAAATCTCCTCTGCCGAATCTACCGCCCATCCGACACTGACGAGCCGCCAAATGTTGCTGATCTCGAGAAGCCTGTCAAGTCTGAATCTTCCTCTACCGTCCCTGTGATTGTCTTCTTCCATGGTGGAAGCTTTGCACACTCATCTGCCAACAGTGCTATCTACGACACATTGTGTCGAAGACTAGTTGGTCTGTGCAGAGCCGTGGTGGTCTCAGTAAATTATAGGCGTGCCCCTGAGCATCGGTATCCTTGTGCTTATGATGATGGCTGGACAGTTCTCAACTGGGTCAAATCGAGGGCATGGCTCGAGAGTACAGACTCGAAAGTTCACATATTTTTGGCTGGAGATAGCTCCGGTGGGAATATTGCTCACCATGTTGCTTTGAAAGCTGCTGAATCGGAATCGGGTATTGAAGTGTTGGGGAATATATTGCTTAATCCGATGTTTGGTGGGGAATTGAGAACTGAATCGGAGAAGAGATTGGACGGGAAGTACTTTGTTTCCGTGCAGGATAGGGATTGGTATTGGAGGGCATTTCTTCCTGATGGTGCTGATAGGGATCATCCAGCTTGTAATCCATTTGGTCCAAAAGCTGCGAGTCTAGAAGGGGTGAAGTTCCCCAAGAGTCTTGTTGTTGTTGCTGGTTTGGATCTTGTGCAAGATTGGCAAATGGCTTATGTTGAAGGGCTGAAGAAGGCTGGCAAACAAGTGAAGGATTTGTATCTTGAGAAGGCGACAATAGGGTTCTACTTGTTGCCAAATAATGCTCACTTCCATATTGTGATGGATGAGATTAAGAAGTTCGTGAGTTCTAACTGTTGATAAAAGAAAAAGAATCTAACTTTACTTTGCAGCAGTAGCAGCCAAAAAGGCAACAAGGAAGCTTTGACAGTCTTTTCACTCTGGTTTTTTTCTTTTCCTGGCTAGGGTTTTTAGAGTTTGCTTTTCTGTTGATAATGTGATTGTGTAGTATTACCTGCTTACGGGTGTCCATTGATCCTTTTCGCCAATTGGGGTTTTCTGGCTCCCGGTTGTTCTTGATTCATGAAGGATATGAGTGCAGGAAGTGGCTCAGCATCTAGCTGGCTGACTCAGGATTTGTTGTCTGTTATACCGCCGGAATCGGTTTGAGATTTGGGTGACGTAGCTTGAAGTAGCTTTTCTCCAGGGGAGATAACTGTTACTGCAGCAGTGCCATTAAAGAAGGTTTCAAGGTTTACCCTTTTGAGGACAGGGTTCACTTGGTTAGGTTGATATGTTGGCTAATGTTATATAGCTAATCTTTAGAGAGAGACTGGATGTTGTGGTAAAAAGAGAGAAGGATCTCATCAATGGTAGTATTGTCTTGTAAGTTTTACATACAGATGCTGAAGTATATATAAATATATATTATAATATAAGAAGGGTTGTTTTGCTTGTTGACATTTCATTATGTATTTATGTTGCTTCTCTTGCACTTGATGCTTGGCAAATTATAATGGACACTTTGTGTACATATGTTAACAGCACGTTTAAACTTGTCGACGAATGGCTCGACTGCTGATCAAGAGTTGGAAGGTTGAGCAGAGATTGCTTTGGAATGAGATACTGAATCTATTTGGAATTGGGCGAAAGGAGAAAGGGAGGCATGAAGCGGAGAGGCAGGAACAAAGTCAAGTGGCAGAGCCACTGCAAAACTTAGAACAGGGCCTTAGGAACGCAAGAAAACGATAACACAACCGAAAATTGCAGCCCTTAGCTGTTCATCCGAGGCACTAGCGGAGAGAAGCTGAACCCCGTGTTGTCCTCTCTAAGCAGTCTCTCTGCTTTCAATTAGCGATCCTTTAACTCATACATGTCAAAGGGATAGATGAGACTGCTTCGAGAACCAGTCATCAACTCTATTTCCTTCGCGGAAAGCTTGTGAGTGCTATATGCATAATAATAGAACAGTTACTCTGATCTTGGAAAGTGCCAATTTTGATTTGTCTGGGAGTCCAACCCAAATTAGGTGGGTGGGAAAAATGGAAAGCAAAGGGAGGAGAAGTTTGAAAACGTGCACCCTTGCGATCCACTTAAAAAGGTCTTATCTTCAAATACATACATAGCTTTCAATGTACATTGCATTGGAGGAGTGAAGAAGCAAACACTCACAAATGATTGATTGAGAAGCCAAACTTCTTTGTTTGAGAGTCCCCACCATTTTTTTTTTATGTGGGGAGACTAGGCTACTGGCTGGTAATAGATTGATTTGATATTTATTCTTGGAGCTTTTCCCTTGCCCTATTCTATTCTAATAATAATTCTTTTGTGTTCTTCAATTTATAGTTCAAACCCCCCTGCAGAAAATTACAAAAAGTTTGTCTTGTGACTGTTCTGATGATGGAAACCCATTCTGCTACTGAGTGGTTGGAATTTTGGAAGTAGTGTTGGATTTGGGAGAGGGGACCCCCTTTTTTATGCACTTGGGCTTCTGTCATCAGAGTGACTAATCATGATTAAGACGTTTCAATACCCTGATTAAGATATCAAATTGCTCTGTTTGAGATTGACTCAATCAAGGGCACAACAATGCAAGTCAGATTTGCCAGCTTTGCTTAACAAGTCACTGGCAGTTGATGGCTGACAGAATAATTGCGAGATAAATAATTAAGTACTGTTGAGAAGGAATCTGGATAGAATCTTCAAATGATTGGATAGAATCTTGGTTGGGCGATTGAATGATACCAACTTATGCATACGCCAATACTATCAGCACCTTAGCCAAATTGGATGAGAAGAACACATCATCATTCCATATGATAGATGATGGCACCATTATGCCAATCTATCTATGTGTCAGTCTTACAAGGAGGAGGCAGATTCAAACAGCCTTTCGTGTCCACGAGCTCACTAAGTCCTTGCGCTGCTGCTTCCAATGTGGCGCTGCTTTTGCAGAAAGCGAACCTAATGTATCTCTTCTGATAATCATGACAAGCAGATAGTGATTCCTCTGATTCTGAAGATACCGAATTGAAGTGGAAGAACCCGCGACCCGGGACAGCCACCACACCGGCTTGTTCTATTAGATGCTTAACATATTCCACCTGAACCATAAGCACGAGAAGGCAAGGGATTATCAAGGTCAAGAAAGCAACTTTAGTCTTTGGATCAGTGAGAGCAAGAGAGGCACCCACATCTGAAAGAGGGGACGATTCTGGAAGTTCTGCAAATAGGAAGAATGATCCCTGAGGTTTAAAACGAATCTGAAAACCTATCCCGGTCAGCAACTGGATGCTGTAATCTCTTTTTGATTCATAGTCCTGGAAATTAAAAGAAAAAGGGAGCATATTGTTCAATGAACAAAGAGCAGGTTCTCAAAGAATCTAATATGGACTTTCATTGTTTTCAATCCCAAGACTTACTCTCCTGAGTGATTCAAAGTAATCTGGGCCACTACTCAGAGCAGTTAATGCAGCTTCCTGGAAAGGTGCTGGAGCTGAATCTGTAAGTTTGACATGAATGTTTCTTATAGCAGAGGCCACGATCGGATTAGCAATTGCCCAGCCGATTCTCCATCCTGGTCAAAAGTAGCAACAGCAGCAAAAAAAACTCTGAGATTGTGAAGTAATGAGCAAAAGGATAGGATGTGACGTGTGTGCCATCATATGACCGAAGAAGGTTGGCTTTTGCTTAGACCTGTGACGCCAAAAGTCTTTGATACTGAAGATGTGATGATGGTCCGTTGCTGCATTCCTGGCAGCAAGGAGAGAGTAACATGTTTTACATTATCATATGTGATATGCTCATATACCTGCAAGAAACAAATTGAACTTCAGAAACTTCAGGTAAGGTAGAATTCTCCTAAGTTCCACCCACAGACTAGTCTTGATAGCATTTGTTTCAGAATTGAGGTTCAATAAGGTAGCATTTTCTTCCAAACGATCTACGATTTAGGTTAGGATTCATATATGTTAAAGGTCAACTAGATTCACCAAGAAGAGAAGATGCACGACATTACTACTTATTAAGGACATCCAAGTCAATATTATCATATTCTTCTCTACTAAGTGTATGAATAGGGAAACGACAACAAGGTTAATAGTCATACTTCATCTGTCACAGCAAGGCAATCTCTGCTGCGGCAAGCTTCAGCTATAATCTCAAGCTCATTCCAGGTGAAAACTTTCCCAGTCGGATTCTGAGGACTGTGCCACTCCACAGTCAATAAGTGCATAAATACTTAGTTCCCAGGGCATCATTTCTCAACCTAATAAAGACAACCACTTAGTTGACACAACCTAGGACTCTTTTACTTCTGTCGAGAGAAGTATTTCTTAGAATTGATATTATCGTTAGGAAGATGATCAAGCTGAGAGTTCAGAATAGAGGTCTTCCCACTAAGATCTAGTAAACAGGACAGAAAAATCAATCAACCAAGGTTTAATAGACCACCAACATTCCAAAAGAAGACGACGCAATGAATAAACCTGTTCAAGATCACCGCTTTTGTTCTGCCAGTGAACGAACTCATGAATTTCTCAGCATCCAAAGTCCAATGAGGTGGCTCAAGCGCAACATATACCTGCCAAAACAACAATTCCCAAATTCAATCACTGAAGAACAAAAAATATATTAGCTGGGTACTATTCAAGATTCCAAAATGCTGATTCAAGTTAACTCACAGGAATCCCCCCTGCCAACCGAATGCAACCCTCATAGGTTTCGTAACAAGGATCAAACAGCACAACCTCATCTCCAGGGTCTATTACTGTCAAGAACATAGTCCAACCAAAATAATCACACACAAAAAAAGCAACTCCATTCTCGATTCAAGTGCCATATAGACAAACAGAGAAGGAAAAATTGACATACTGGCAAACATTGCTGCTGCAAAAGCCTCAGTTTGGCCGCAGCAAATCGCTATATCGGTATCAGGGTCGACCTCCAATCCATACATTTCTTTCGCATTTCTAGCCAACAGCTCACAAATTCCTTGCACGTGCCTGGGAGATACAACAAAAATAAAAAGCGGGAAATTTTTCAGTTACCCAAATGGATTTGGGGACTGTGGAACAAAGAACATGGAACGGAAGCGGAGACCTGTACTGGTTGAAGTCAGAATTGATGGCGGAAACGGCGGCGGACTTGATGGCCGGAGCGGCGGGGAAGTCCGGGAAGCCTTCGGCGAGGTTGATTGCGTTGCATCGCTGAGCTAAGTGGGAAAGCTCTTGAATTGGGGATGGAGTGAAGGTATTCGCAACTCTGGATAGCTTCTTCTCCATACTGCTTATGCTGTTACTGCTTCAGTCTCGCTGTTTCCTAGTCTCAGGGTCAGGGGACGTAGCGGCGAAGGAACTAAAGTAACTGACGCGACCTGGGCTTGAGCGTGGGCTTGGGCCTGGGGTTCTTAGTTTCTTAACGAGATTGAGCTGACCTGGAGCGATTGAGGAAATGAACCAGAAATTCAGCTCAAACGTGGAAAAATATATATGAAGTAAGTTTCGGGATGTGTTCATGTTCTGAAAATTTTATAAAATACGTTGACCATGTAAATTACGATGGATGTTAAGATATTATAGCGAAAAATCGTTCATAATTACACAACTCACCTTATTCTGAACTGTTTCTTCACTATGTCTATTGCAGTAAGTGCTCTTCAACAATTGCAAATTTGCAAGGGTAACTAATAGCAACAAACATCCCTAAGTTCCGGATTTTTGTTTATATTAAACTCACTTACAAAATATATGAATTAAAAGTTAAATAGAGATCACAAAACATCACTTTTTTCGTAAAATTATCTATAAAAATATGGAGATCTTGTATTCAATCCACTATCGTATAAAAACAATTTACTTTACATAGCCTAGGTAGTGCAAATGACCCACCTTGGTCTCAAGTGGCGTCAGAAGTTTTTGTCGATGGTCTTTTTGTGGAGATGCAAGTGCTGATATGAATTGAAAACAGATTATCTGTCGTAAATTGAAAGTAATAGGATTTTGCTAATACACATCTGTATCTCCTCAAGCATAGTGAAATTGATCTCCCTTGTCCTTGGACGTAACTAACAGTCTAACACCTATCGTATGAGTGAACCACGTAAATTTGTATGTTCTTTACTTTCTTGCATTGTTGGACGTAGAGCAATCCAATTCAATCTTTGGTACTACAGTATTTCATCAAATGCATGCACTTCGAGTATGAGGAAGGCTGGCGGCGATGCAGCGGAAACATGCAATGGAAGGAACAACCAAACGACGAACGATGCAAAGAGAGGATGAGGAAGGTGGGACGGTGGTAGACCATAAGCCTACCCGGATTTAATCTCCGATTCTTTCGCCGCCGTTGATTCAATATTCCATTTGGGGATTTGGGGGTTAGGGTTCGTTGCATGTATGGAGAGATTTGGGGATTTGGGGGTTAGGATTCGTTGCATGTCTGGAGGGATTTGGATGAATTTGTATGCGCAAAGGGACGGTTTTGGATGAGAGTTGTGATTTTGGTGGTGGTGCATGTCTGGTTGGGGAGTCGAGGTCGAGATTGAGGAGATTGGGACGGCGAGGTCGAGATTGGAAGGAGGAGATGGAGTAGTGAAGTCTGGTTGAGGGTTGAGAAGCATCTGGGTGGGGGCTGGGGGCAGAGCTCTAATGGTGGTGGCGGGCAAGGGCATAGGGGATGTGCCTGTGGCGACGAGGTTCTCGGCGGTTATTTACGGTGGACCAATTTATTTTCGGTTAACCATTGGAGGTGTCCGGTTATCAAATTTGCCTGAAATCCCCAACCGACACTGACATAGCCAATATTTTTCGGTCGTTGGTTTCAGTGAATAACCGTCGATGTTGGTTCGGCGGTCGGTTTAACCGGATAATCGCCAACTAATTATCACCTCTACCTCTAGCCTCTCTTACATAGTACCTGACCAACGAAATTTATATAGGGGTTTCCTATTAAAATTAATAATGACAAATTGAATAAAATTTATTGAATAAAAAATATCATACTAGTACAAGCAAAAAAAAAAAAAACTCACTGTCTATAGTGCTCAACAATTATCTTTCAATATATCCTACTAGACAATCATTCACGATCCAATTACTTATTCTATTCCGAAGTTTGTCGTGATGTAACCCAAAGCCAAAATATATCTCTCAACATTTGTAGTTGCAACCGATAAAATCAATAAGACTTTGAGAAGCAAATAGATCCGTAGACATGATAGATTCACTTTCGTACCCACCATCAATTGAGATAATTCATCAAATTCCTTCTAATCCACGAAATAACTCATCATTCCACCCAATGATAATAATGCTCAAAGTCTAGTGGAGTCAGAAAAGTGACCGAACTCCTTAGACATGATAGTCGTTTATAACTATAGTTACGTAAACTTACAACAATAACAAAGGAATTGTAGTTTAATGGAAAATATGTCCACTAATAACTAAGCGTCACGCATTATCATTTTTTTCATACTCGAACTACTACAAATAATTCGTTAATTTTCCCCCAAATTTTAGGGGTGTCCAGCCTTGGGTCCGCCTTGCATCTGAACCCAACATGGGATAACGTTGGCCGTCAACCAATCATCCTCCAAAGAAAAGAAGAAGGGATGATATCAAGTGTTCAATGTTGACAGGATGATGATATCAAGTCAGTCCTTCGCCTTCGACCTACCCAAAATCGACTATGCCTGCCCGTGATCAACAACTTGTGATTTGTGAAGTCACTCCCCATCATGGGCATGGATGCACAACACTAAAAAGCTCTTTAGTGACATGGTGAGTGATGAGCATTGACACAATGCCGAATTTTGATTCCGAGGGTGTAGCAAAAGCTATATGAGAAAATGACAATGACAATATTGTCAATAACCGGTTGATCTATTTAACTCGAGTAGTTAGCAAAAGTTCAATTATCAATCATATATCGTTTACAAATAAATATACAGGACAAATAAAAGTGTCTGGTGTGTTGTACTATCTAGTTCAAAGAGTTGAAGAAGAAACGCTATCGGGAGAAATATCGTTGGGCTCTCATTTATAAAGCCTCCTTAGGACACATGTATCCAATTTAGATATTGATGCACCTGCCCATTCTGTTCTTTGCTGCCCATATTATCCACTCAATTAACGGATTCCATCGTTATCTTCTTCCCCATAATAATCTTTTAATATGATACCATCATTCAATTCAGAACGATACGAAATTCCCAGAACTGCCCTTCCGGTGAAAGTCATTCAATCGATTCAGCCATGGAAAAACAGCACAACCCAGAAGAAGAAGAAGACAAAAAACACAGAGAGGATTGAGCATCAAAATCAAGAGACTCACTTTATTCCAAGGAACTAGCCGAAATCTCATTACTGTGTTAAGGGAACACAACAACGCCAGAGGTTAACAAGTAAGCAACTTGGCTTTAGCAAAACCAGCACCAATTAGAGAGACGTTTAGAGTGGTAGATAAGATGATACCTTCTCTTTAGTTCCCTGTGAAAAACAGAAACTAAGAGAGCTATGGCTTCTGCTGCCCTCTTCTAACGCACTTTCACAGCAAAGGCAAGTGAAGCCGCAGCCACCACTGTAGTCACAGATGAAACCATAGCCCAGAAGCTCTTCTTCTTCTCTGCTTCTGCAACAGAGTTCTCCAGAGCTCCAACTCGCTGCTTCATCTCCTCCACCTTTGCATCCTTGTCTCTGAAACAGCTCTTGATCGCTTCCATTTGTTCTTCAACCTTTGCACCTACGGATCTATTGCTGTTGCTGCCCAGGGAGACCAATTCCACAGTGTTGCTCAGGAGGCTCAAAGCTCGCTCCAGCTTCATCTCACTTGATTTCAGTTTACCCTCCAATTCCCCATTCTCCACTTGTGTCTCTGCAAGCTTCTTCTCAATCACACCATTCAGCTTCTTCAATGATTCAAACTCGGCTTCCACTGCCTTCTTCTCCTCCATTAGAGTCTCTTTCTCAGAGTTTGACTTCTCAAGCTCGACTGCAGCTGCTTCCATCCTAGCCTCCACCTCTGCAAGTTTAGACCTCAAGTTAGCTCCATAACCCTGCTCGTCTCCCAGAGCCATCTGCAGATCATGTTTCTCCACCTTCACTCGCTCCAGCCTCTCTCTGTACTGAGCACACTCAGAAGCTAACTCGGTGTTTCGAGCTTCTTTAGTCTTGATGAAGTCATTCGCTGCAATCAGAGAATCGGCCAGCTCGCTGACCTTGTTCAGCAGCTCTGCAATTTCAGACTCTTTCCTCTTGGATATTCCCTCGACCTCTTCCTTCTCTCTCGAGAGCTTCTCAATCAATTCCTTCTTGCCCTCCAATTCTCCATTAACGGAATCTATCATCTTCACCAGAGAATGCTTTTCCTCTGTCAATGCTTCGACCATCTTGATCTTCTCCCTCTGTGCTTCAATCAAGGAATCGATGTCTTCTCTCAATGTCTTCTCCTTCTCAATCGCATCGCCATAGCTCATCTCCAGTCCAATCACCTTCTCGCTCAGAAGTCCATTCTCAGTCGTGAAACTCGCCACAGAATCATTCAATCCCTTGATTTCTTCCTCCAATGAACCAATCTTGAAGATCTGATCACTCTTCTCAGTCTCAATCGCATTCTTCTCATCAAGAATCCGCTCAATCTCAGATTTCAGAGCTTCGATTTCACTCACCCTAACGGACAAATTCATCTCAGCGGAATCCCTAACCCGTTTAAGAACCTCGACTTCCTCCTCTACAACTTCTTTCTGGCTACTCAATCGTTCAATTTCGAACTTAAGTTCAAGAATCTCACCTTCGCTCGTCTTTTCCTTCTCCTCCATCTCCTTCACAATCGCCTTCAAACCTTCAGCTTCCTCAACCCTCCCGGAGAGCTCGCCTTCAATAATATCTTTCTCTCTGCAAGTCCTGCTCAGCCGCTCCCTCCCGGACTCGAGATCGCCGGTCAACTTCTCGATTACCTCCTTCAGCGACTCGATCTCACCTTCCTGCTCAAGATTCTCTTTCTTTAATGACTCGACGTCGACTTCCCTTTCCTTGAGAGCCGCGAACGCGATGCTCCGTTCGATCTCCGAGCAAGCTCTCTCGTCACTCCCGACGACGAAGTCCGCGCCGCGCTTCTCCAACTCGGACTCCAGGCTTTTCTTCTCCCGCTCCAAGGCCTCCACCTGCCTCCTCTTGTCCGCCACGGTGTCGATCAGCCGCTTGTTCAGCGCCTTCAGCTTCTCATTCTCGGATCCTTCCAAGGAGGAAGTCCGTGACAGCGACAGCGGCGGCTGCTGATCCGCCATGGCCAGGACTGGTTCTTGCTCCGGTTGCTGATGCATCGGCGGCGGCGGGGGATGGTTCAGAGTCTCGTCGTTCTCAGTCTTGCCGTTGTGATTGTGGTTGTGGCTCTTCTTCTTTGCCATTTTTGTCAGCTAGCCTTTCTTTGTTCAGATTTTCGTGGCGGTGAAAAATGGGAAAGAAAATGGAGGAATTTCTAGGGTTAGGGTTTTGCTAGGGTTTTAATGGCGGAGATTGAAATGAGAAATGTGGATTGGGTTTTGCTTTTTCGGGAGGAGGGAGGGAAGAGAGACGATTTTAAATCTCGCTTGTGGGGCTCCAACTTCGAGGCACAACGGAATTTGATCCGGCGGTTTCAAGGGAGTTGATAGAGTGACCGGTTAGTGTGAGGCGGGTGTTTTATCCGCCGGTGATATGGAGGTCCACGTGGTGCTGTTTGATTTGTGGTTTTTGATATCCACGTGGTGCTGTTTATTTTTTTTGGTAGAAAGATAGACGCATTGCGTCTAGATCACATTACTAGAAAAACGAAGGTGGGAAGTTCCCACAACATCATGGCGGAGCCATTGTACAAGGTCTCTACCGCACACATCGAAGGGGTGTGTGCCAAAATCAAAGTCATGAGCCTTGCAAGCCAAGAAATCAGCCGCAAAATTGGCTTCCCTATAAACATGGGAGATACAAACTTCCCAATCACGATTCAAAATAACCTTAAACTGGTTAGCTAAGCTACCATGCCTATGATCATCCTTCTGACGTTGTTTAATAATCTCAATCGCCGTTGTGGAATCAAGCTTTAGTTGAACCTTCCTGTAGCCTGCTTTCCATGCAATTTTAAGGCCCTCCAACGCTCCTTTCAATTCTGCAGCAGTGATTGAACATGAGCCAAGGTTGCAAACAAAGGCGTGGGTGCATCTGCCCAGGTGATCTCTGATCAGTCCTCCTGCTGCAGCCTTCCCCGAATTTGTGAGAAACGAGCCATCAGTCTGCAGTTGTATCTAGCCTTCCAAAGGAGGATCCCAGCTAACATTCCTGACTTGGCCAGCCGGAGGATTAGAGGTAGAAGTCAGCTGGACATTCTCCTGAGCATTTCTGACAATGTTGAACCATGCTTGAATCCTTGCAAATAAGCCATTTTTTGAGAAGACTTTTCCTTCCATAACTTCCTCATTCCTCTGTTTCCAAAGCTGCCAAATAATAATGCCAAACTCAGTTGCAGTATCATGGTGTCTTAGGTTGATCATTAACCAGTCCTGCAGGGGAAGACTCATGGAGTTGGCCACTGTTCTGCTTTGGAATTTATCCCACACAACTCGAGCTTTGCTGCAGTTCCTGAGAATATGGTCAATTGTTTCTTCCTGGTCAGGGCAGAGGTTGCAGTGGCTATTTGTTGTGATTTTCCTTCTAGTCAGCTCTTTCTTGGTGAGAAGCCTGCCGTGTAGTACAATCCACATGAAATGCTTAATTCTGTTGGGGCCCTTCCATTTCCAAAGATCTTTCCAGCATCTGTCAGGTGCATTGTCCTCCTCCTCAACAACCAGATTGTAAGCTGACTTGAGTCTGAAGCGGCCATCCTTTTCCAGCCCCCAGATGGTGGTGTCCTCTCCAAGCTCCGGATCAGGAGTCTCCAAACCTGCAATAGCCGAGAGAAGAGCATCAGGGAGGAGGATTCTGAGTTTATTCCAATTCCACTCACCTTCCTCAGTGGCCCATTCAGCCACCACAGAGTTTTTTTCCTCCTCAGTCAGATCCTTCAAGGCAAAATCTTCCAGAATAAGGTCATTATCAACCCATGGCTGTGTCCAGAACTTGGTTGTTTGTCCATTTCTTATGCTTCAGCAGGTGGCATGCTTCATGATGTTCATTCCTTTAACAATGGCCTTCCAGAGGTTCGAGTGATTACTCTTTTTCATTGATAGGATTTCTCCATTCTGCTGCTTGAAATACTTCCCCTGCAAAACCTGAACCCACAAGTCATTGTCCTTATTAAGAATATTCCATCCCAGTTTGATCATATAAGACATGTTCATGTTCCTGGCAGACTTCAGACCTAAACCACCTAGTTCTTTAGGCTTGCAGATGGTCTCCCAAGAGACAAGATGAGTCTTTCTCTTTCCCTCACAGGACCCCCACACAAAACTCCTAACTTTTCTATCAATAGTGTCACATATGGAAGCAGGTAGGAAGGTGGTTTGCATGACATAGGTGGGTAGGGCATTGAGGACAGAAGTGGCCAGGGTAACTCTGCCAGCCAGGGAAAGGGTCTTTGCTTTCCAGTTGGTGAGTTTTTGCTCAATTCTGTCAATAATATACTTGTAAGTGGTCTTGGTGATTCTGCCATGAATCACAGGGACACCAAGGTATCTCCCAAGATCAGAAGTAACTTGAATCCCAAGTCTCTTACAGATCTCATTTCTATTATGGTTCTTGACATTTTTGGAGAAGAAAACCCTAGACTTTTCTTTACTAACAGATTCCCCTGAGGCAGTGCAGAAACAGTCAAGGCATCTAAGGACAATGTCAGCTTGTTGAGGGTTGGCTTCTACAAGCAACACTAAATCATCAGCAAAAAAGATATGGGACAGAGCAGGTCCTTTAGGAGACAGCCTAATAGGTTTCCACGAGCCTTTTTGAACTTCTAACTCAATGCAATGACTTAATCTTTCAATACACAAGGTAAAGAGATAAGGGGAGAGGGGACATCCCTGTCTAAGTCCTCTGGTTGGCTTGAAAGCTTCAGTTTCACCTCCATTCCACAGGACTTGGTAGCTTGTAGAGGACACACACTTCATGATCAGGTTAATGATGCTAGATGGGAAGTTGGCAACTTTGAGAGCGTCCTCCAGGAATTCCCACTCGATTCTGTCATAGGCTTTAGCCATGTCCACTTTCAGGACCATGAAACCTTTCTTGCCATTTTTCCTTGCCATAGAGTGAATGGTTTCCTGCAAGATAATGATGTTATCAGTAATAGAGGACGCACACTTCATGATCAGGTTAATGATGCTAGATGGGAAGTTGGCAGCTTTGAGAGTGTCCTCCAGGAATTCCCACTCGATTCTGTCATAGGCTTTAGCCAGGTCCACTTTCAGGACCATGAAACCTTTCTTGCCATTTTTCCTTGCCATAGAGTGAATGGTTTCCTGCAAGATAATGATGTTATCAGTAATATGGCGATTAGGAATGAAACTGGATTGGTACTTGTTCACAAGATGAGGCATCAAAGGTTTCAGTTTATTGGCAATCAGTTTAGCAATCACTTTGTATCCCACATTGCATAGACTGATTGGTCTAAACTGACTCATTGAAGAGGGGTTTTCCACTTTTGGAATCAAAGCAAGGAGGGTTTCATTAATGCATTGGATTTTGTCAGGGTTTCTAAAACAGGAAGTAATGAAACCACTAAAGTCCCTCCCCACAGAGTTCCAACATTTTTGGTAGAAAATGGCTTGAAAACCATCTTTCCCTGGTGCCTTAAGGCCATTCATTTCCATAACCACATTCCTGATCTCTTCCGAGTTGGGGATGGAGCCCAGGTTAGACAGAACACAACCATCAAGAACAGGGAAGTTTGCAGGAATAGAGATACCAGACACAAGACTGTTTTTGGTAAAAAGATTCAGAAAATACTCCCTGGCCATCGATAGAAGGGAGTTGGCATCAGTGATCCATTGTCCCTGTTCATCTCTTAGGCAAGTGATTTTGTTCCTCTTCCTTTTGCTGAGGGTGCTGGTGTGAAAATAGCGTGTGTTCAGGTCCCTCTTCACCACCCAGTTAGTCCTGGATTTCTGAATCCAGAGCATTTCTTCTTGCCAGAGAGTTTCCTCCAGTTCCTCTCTAGTCTGTTGCTCCTTTTTGGTGGATCTAGTTGATGAGCATCTCCCATTGATCATCTCCAAGGATTTACGTGGTGCTGTTTATTACGGTGAGAGGTGGGCATTTCCGTGCGTGTATTGGGAGTAGGGATGGCAATGGGTCGGGTTTTGCCAAACCCAAACCCAAACCCATGGGTTTATTTTTGAAAAAAACCCGGGGTAAAACCCACTGGGTTTGAAAAACTCAAACCCAACCCAACTCGTTGGGTATCCGCGGGTTCATGGGCACCCACGGGTTTTGTCGTAAAAAATTTACAATTACAAGTTCTTATCAAAATTAAAGTCAAATATCAATCTCTCAATACAAATTATCCATATATAAAACATCATTCTAGAAAATTCAAGCAAATCACAAATTAACTATACAAATTGTTCAACACCAATCTAGAAAACTCAAGAAAATTAAAGCAAATCACAAATTATCCATAAATAACATGTTTAATTGAAAGCTTCTTCCTTTCAATTAAGTTTCTTTCAATTAAGTTTCTTTACTCTCCACTCCATAACATCAACTTCATTCTACACAATTAAAAAGAAAAAATTAGACATGTCTCCAGAAACATAAATAAGATTAGTTGTTTAGAATATTAAATATATCGAAAAAATTAATTATATGGGTGGGCGGGTACCCACGGGCCGGGTTTACCTAAACCCAAACCCAACCCAACCCGGTGAATAGTGAACGGGTTTAAACCCAAACCCGGCCCAAAACCCGTCAACACGGATTTTACCCGCGTTGACCGGGTTGGGTCGGGTGGGTAGTGGGTTCGGGTTTTGTTGCCATCCCTAATTGGGAGGTTGGATAGCGTCACTTGCACAACCAAAGACAATCTGGGTATGACAAAAAAAACTTTATTAATTAATTTTTTTTTATTAATTGTACATTGAGAATTAAAAATTCATATTACTTTCACCAAAAAATGGGTTTTTTAACAAAAGAGGATCACATTGATTAATAAAAGATCACAAATTACATCATGAACCCAACTCACGCACGAAAATTGTACAATCGACACGAAACCGGAGACAAAGACAGGGCCTTCTTAGCCACATAATGGGCTACCCTATTGCTATTCTGACCTATGAATCAAACCCGAAAACCACTATTCTGTGCCAGCAGGCACAGAATCTCGAAAATAATAAGCACATTCGCAGCACCCTCAAACCTAACTTGAGAGATGTCAAGAGCCTGACACTACTGAATAGCTTTGCAGAGAACAAGTGTCTCCGTCTCTAGAGGATCCATAATGTTTTGAAGAAACAATTCATTTGCCAATAGCACATTTCCACCACCGTCTTTTAAGATCAGCCCTCCATCTGAATGTGAGTCAGCACTTACCGCACCATCCCACATACAGATGACACTCAGCAAATCCCCCTCCCCCATATTTTGTTGCCGAGGTACCCGATCCAGCCCCAGTCTATCCTTTGGTAATGACACTCACTCATAAATTTGATGGTGATATTATCGTAGTAATTGAGGAATCAAAAATTGTTTTCCCTTAAAGGCAACCCAGTTTCTTGACTTCCAAATACGCCACAAATATTAAATACATGTTTTTTTGAAAATTAAATCATACACTAAATACATTTATATCTCTCTTCCTTTCCTAGTAGCCACTCCACTTCGACCAACAGACTTTTTCTCTGGTTAACTCCTTCCCGAAGACTTCTTCCGACGAAATCTCTCCAACAGACTCCCTCCGACAACCTGCAAAAATGTATAAGTCCATTAGTCTAGTGGTAGTGATTTTTCGAGTGGTATGCTACCAGTACAGTGCTACCACTACCATCTGGAAGCTGGTAGTGGCAGCGTACCACTACCATATGGTAGAGCCCATATGGTAGTGGTACGCTACCACTCCATTTGGTACGCTACTAGATGAAAATCACTACCACTAGAAAAAAATCAGATATGAAAATAAAAAAATTACAGATCTAAAAAACGAAAGAGAGGAGAGAAAAAGTAGTGGGAGAGGGACACATACCGAAGAGGCAAGCAGAGGAGCTGACAACGGTGTCAATGAGGGCGGCGGGAGAGAGATGGCAGCGGTAGGTGTGGAGGGAGGCAGAGGCGGCGACGGCGGTGGTGGAGGGCGCAACAGGCTACATTGGGGGCGAAGGGTAGTGCCTTCTGCGGGAGAGAACGAGGAGGGGGAGAGGGAGGTGAACGACGGTGAGAGGGTATATGGGTTAGATTATGATTTTTATTTATTTATATGTGAGGAAGAATGTTTGAGTGTGGTAAGTATTTTTCCTTCCCAAAATACCCTTCATTTAATCTTGCCATCAATTTGAAAAACACTGATTCGGGTATATTTGGACACTTTTTGCCCCCCTTTTTTCATATATGTTTGAGGTACTTTTACTCCGTGAGGTTCGGTTTTATGCTAGGTTGTGGTTGTTTTTAGTATGTTTCATATCCTATAAGGTGAAACCAACCCATGGAACGAAAGTTGGGCGAAAAGAGGTAGAAACAGGTCAAAAGGGAGCAACAGTAGCAGATCACGATGGAGGCCAGCAGTTCACGGTCATACATGGACCGTGAAGAGCAGGGAGTCCAGAAGAGTTTGTCCATCTCGCGGGCATAAACCAGTTCACGGTCACTCGATCGGGAAGACCAGCTCCAGACCGTGAACTCCCTTAATGAAACAACACATTTTTGCTTGACATCACGGGTCGGTCCAGATGTTCACGTTCGAGAACTG